AACAATACAGTTCAATACAAGAGGGATAGGACGGTCCTGCTCCTTGGAGCTTACAATCTAGGAGGGAGGGGTTAGTGGTACAAAAGGTAATAACCGTGGGGGATGGACTGATAGGAGGAATAGAAGATTCGGTTATTAGATGAAGGCAGGATAGGCTTCCCTGAAGAGATAGGTTTTCAGAGATAGCCTAAAAGTGGGCAGAGTAGGCGATAGTCTGATAGATTGGGGTAGAGAGTTCCAGAGGATGGGGGAAGCTCTGGAGAAGTCCTGGAGATGAGCATGGGAGGAGGAGACAAGGGAGCTAGAGAGCAGGAGGTCTTGTGAGGAGCAGAGAGTACGGTTTGGGTGATATTTTGAGACAAGATTGCTGATGTAATTTGGGGCAGAGTTATAAATGGCTTTATATGTTATTGTTGATGTTTTGAATTTTATCCTTTGGGCAGTGGGAAGCCAGTGGAGGGATTAGCAGAGAGGGGTGGCTGATACAGAACGGTTAGTAAGGTGGAGGAGTCTGGCAGCAGCATTCATGATAGACTGAAGAGGGGATAGCCTGCGATTCGGTAGGCCAATGAAGAGGGAGTTATAATAGTCAAGGCGAGATATAACAAGGGAGTGAATAAGTTGCTTAGTGGTTTCCGAGGTTAAGAACAGCCATATCTTGGAGATGTTGCGGAGGTGAAGTCTACAAAATTTGGACAGCGATTGGATCTGGGGCTGAAAGGACAGATGGGAGTCTAGGATTACACCTAGTACCCTGGCATGAGGGGAGGGACTGATGATTGTGTTATTGATCTTGATGGAGAAGTCAGGGGAGGGGGCACGGGCTGGGGGGAATACTAAGAGCTCAGTTTTGTAAAGATTGAGTTTGTGGAAGTGGAGTGACATCCATGCCGATATGTTGCTTAGTAGGCTAGTAATGCAAGAGGAGACTGAAGGGGTGAGGTGAGGGGTAGAAAGATAGATTTGTGTGTCAGCAGCATAGAGGTGGTATTTAAAGCCATAGGAGTTTATCAAGTGACCAAGGGAGGAGGTGTAGATGGAGAAGAGTAGGGGCCCAAGGACGGAACCTTGAGGGACCCCTACAGAAAGAGGGAGTAAAGAGGAAGAGCCAGAGTTATAAGTAACGCTGAAGGAGCGCTGCGATAGGTAGGAGGAGAACCAGGAGAGAGCAGAGTCTCTGAGACCAAGAGAGTGGAGTTTTTTGAGGAGGAGGGGATGGTCAACCGTATCAAAAGCTGCAGAGAGGTTGAGGAGTAAGAGTATGGAGTAGTGGCCATTGGTTTTAGCAGTTAGTAGATCATTAGTGAGTTTTAATAGGGCAGTTTCAGTGGAGTGTAGTGAGCGAAAGCCAGACTGTAAAGGGTCAAGAAGGTTGTTGTCAGTGAGGTAGGAGCCCAGGCGATTGTAGACTAAGCATTCTAAGAGTTTAGAGGTAAATGGGAGCAGGGAGATTGGTCTTAAGTTGTTCAGGTTGGTGGGATCCAGGGAGGGCTTTTTAAGTATGGGAGTGATGTGTGCATGCTTTAGAAGGGAGGGGAAGGCACCATTAGAGAGGGAGAGATTGAAGATGTGAGGGAGGGAGCATAGGACGGAAGAAGAGGGTGACCGTAGTAGTTGTGAGGGGACAGGATCCAGGGGGCAGGTAGTGAGACGGGCTTCTAAGAAAACCTTAGTGACCTCTTCAGTAGTACCAAGGTCAAAAGAGGAAAGTGTTGAGGGAGGTTTAGTATAAGATATGCTAAGTGGGATGAATGTCTGTGCAGTGGCGATGCCCCTACGAATTGCATCAGTCTTGCTTTTGAAATGATTTGCAATCTCATGAGTAGTGAGTGAGGTACTGGGTGGAGGTGGAGAAAGTAGAGAGTTAAAAGAAGAGAAGAGATGAAGAGGACTGGATGATAAGCTATTGATGAGAGTAACAAAGTAGGCTTGTTTGGCAGCACGAAGGGAGGAATTGTATGTTAAAAAAGCAGATTTATATCGGGTGAATGCTTGTTGAGATTTGGTTTTACGCCACAATCGCTACAGCACACAACTATGTCATTTAAGATTTCTGGGGTCATCAGTCTGCCAAGGTTGTAATGGTCGGGGCCTGATGCTTCGTGTTGTTAGAGGAGCAAGTGAGTCTAGTGCGGATGAAAGCAAACTGTTGTAGATATCCTCTTTATTGAGAAGATAACAGATTGAGAGGATAACAGATATCCTCTTTATTGAGAAGAGGGATTTGGGAAAGACTTAGTATGCCAAATCTTGTGCTAAAAGTAAGGGCTGAACTTTGAAGTTGAAATGGTTAGGTGCTCTGCCTTTGGAGGAAGTAGAGGCTCCTGGGGATGGGAGTTTTGAAATCCTCCACTGTGGGAGTAAATCATTCCCTCCTGTGACACATTTTATGATTTGGCCAAGTACCTCCCCAAAATGATGTCTTCCTTGAAAGGGTATAAGTGTGAGGTGTTTTATTACAGGCAGCTTCCGCTGTACAGGCTTTGAGTCACAAGATTCTGTGCATGTGACTGGAGATTAGGGACATTTTGCAAATGCATCTCATCACATGTTCTAGGCCCTCCGCACAAAAGTGCAGAGCAGAAGATAATTGCTGAGCTAAGGAATTGTCCAGGAATACAGGATGGTGTTGGTAGTTCATTGTCGTAGTCCGGTTATCTGCCGTTTGACATATGAAATTGCAGCAATGGCTGAAGAGCTGGGCCTGCAAGAGCCTTTAAGAGCATCTCAAACTTTCTACCTGAAGAATCTTTGAATGAAGGGACATCTTCAATTGTTATAGTGAGATGTTTATTTAAGACTGAGATGACAGGATCAACTACCACAACAGTCCATTTTATGGTGAGCTCTGAATAGAGTTCAACAAAGATTTTTGGAAGAGTAAAAATCTTTTCTGGAGTGATCCAATTATCATAGATTGCCCATTCTATTTGTTAATAAGCAAAGAATGTATAGATTTTGAAGGTCTCTGCCTATTAAAGGGCATAACAAGATGGAGGAGAAACTAGTGTCACAATGCCGAGTAGTGAGCATATCCACATGCAGGGGCAGACTGACCATTTGAGCACTCGGGCACTGCCCGAGGTCAGTAGGGAGCCCCCATGAAATGCCCCTGGTATCATTTATAGGCTTTTTTGGGTGTGCTTTGAGCGTGGGCAAAGACACAGGGGCCCCATGAGTTGTCAGTCCGCCCCTGTCCACATGACACATGAAGCTGCCATTTCAGGTGTAAAGGAAGGTTTGTGTGAGAAATCCTTCATAGCCGCCTCTAACACTGCCTCCATGTCCTCTTCATTACCTTCTATGGACATACTGGGATCTAACTCAGATAGAGAAGGGGCATGGTGTTTTGGAGCCCTGGACAGAGGTGGCTGTATTAAAGCCATTAGTTTTCAGAGGAATTGTGACATATTGTTAGGAATGGACTGGCCAGCAATGGTGGGACTCACCCGCCTTTTGATCTGCAGTACCAGGGCTGGCCAGCGGGTGCTCCCAGCAATCAGAGACTCAACCTTTCAGCCAGCTAACACCTGGAACTGATGATGCTGGGGTATTTAAGGGATGGCCAGACTTGCAGACTCGGCCTTGGTGTTGTGTTTGTCCTGGGCCCTGTATCTGTCCTGCATCCTGTTTCTGTTCCTTTGCTGACTTCTCCTGCTCTGATCCTGGCTTGTGACCCTGACCATTCCTCTGTCTGACCCTCTGTACTATGCTGCTTGCTACCTGCTGAACCTGGCCTGTGACCCCGACCATTCTCCGCTTGCTCCCCCTGTACCTACCTGCCCAATTGATATGACCCCTGCCTGACGACGCTTGCTTGTATATACTGTTATCTGTGGGTGGTTTGGTTTGGTTTGTTTGCACTGTATTATGTTTTAGTATTGCACTGCGTTTATGTTTGTACTGTTAGTGTTAATAAATTATATTGTTTATAACATATCTGAGGTCTGCGTTTCCCTGCTTCAGTCACACACCTCTGGTCATACCTGGGAGCCCTGACATTACACCAAGGCCAATCCTGACCAGAAGTGGCTGCACAGGGAAGCCATCTTGGCTTGTTGATGGGAAGGATGGATCTAGATGAGGTTGAGTATTTATCTCTGCTAGTGCTTGATGACAGAGAGTATGCTTATCAGACTCTGAAGGAGTATACCCGGGATGAACTGCTAGAATGTATACGGCTCGCTCATGTTCTAGTAGATCAGGGCACAGTTTTCTCTATGGTGCAGCCATTGATTCAGGTTTGTGTTGAGTTGGTTTCATCTGGTTTCCCCGAATGCAGGGATGAATTTTTGCCACCATTTAGTGCAGACCAGGTAGAGTCCCTGGTGTGGTTATTAGAGGATGATGTGGGTTACTTTCTGGAGCGTTATTCCACATGTTCACCACAGACACTGAGAGATTGTATAAACGCAGTGCAGTCATTGACCAGACAGGACTTTGTGTAAACTCAGCTTTGTTCAACCCCTACTGCAGACATGGACAGATTTGTTGCACCCAGCCTCAGTCAGCTTACAAAGACCCAGTCCTGCTTCTAACTCTACTCCTGTATTCCCACCAGCTCCTCCAGTTACAGCCCAGTATACTTGGCTATCTACCGCATGTCAGTACCCTGTTCCCACTCGCTGCACCTATCCTGCCTTTAACCCTGTAAAAAAGCCCTCTGTAGCAACTGCTCCCTCTCCTGTTCCATCCTCCAGTTCTTCTCTGTCTCCAGCTGCTCCATTCGTTTGCAGACCTGCGTTTACTTGCAGTGCTCCAGTAGTTAAAACCAGAAAAAAGCGAAAATTCTTTCCAACCAATACCATCCTGCCAGTATCCAAACCGGTGAGCCTGCCTTCCGTGGTTCAGACTGATGCCTGTATGCAGCCTGAAGCCTCTACTCGGCCTGAAGCCTCTACTCGGCCTGAAGCCTCGGCCTGAAGCCTCTACCTCGGCCTGAAGCCTCTCCTCAGCCTGAAGCCTCTCCTCAGCCTGAAGCCTCTACTCGGCCTGGCCTGATGCCTGTACTCGGCCTGATGCCTGTACTCGGCCTGATGCCTGCCTGCCTGAAGCCTCGGCCTGAAGCCTCTACGCGGCCTGAAGCCTCTATGCGGCCTGAAGCCTCTCCTCAGCCTGAAGCCTCTACGCGGCCTGAATGCCTGACTGCCTGAAGCCTCTACTCGGCCTGAAGCCTCTACTCGGCCTGAAGCCTCTACTCGGCCTGAAGCCTGCCTACTCGGCCTGATGCCTGCATTCAGCCTGATGCCGCTACTCAGCAGGATGAACTGATCCAGCCCGACGATCCTATTAGGCCAGTTGACTCGATGCCCGCTGTTGATCCAGATGATCCGGTACCTGATCCAGTGCCCGCTGTCGTGCCAATTGACTCAGAGCCCGCTGTCATACCTGGTGACCCGGTGCCCACTGCCTTGCCAGATGACGCGGTGCCCGCTGGCAAGCCAAATGACCTGATGCCTGGTGACCCAGTGCCCGCTGTCATACCTGGTGACCCGATGCCCGCTGTCGAGCCAGACGATCCAATGCCTGGTGACGCGGTGCCCACTGCCTTGCCAGATGACCTGATGCCTGGCGACCCAGTGCCCGCTGTCATACCTGGTGACCCGATGCCCGATGTGCCTCTGCCCGGTGTGCCTCTGCCCGGAGTCCTGCCCGATGTGCCTCTGCCCGGAGTCCTGCCCGATGTGCCTCTGCCCGGAGTCCTGCCCGATGTGCCTCTGCCCGGTGTGCCTCTGCCCGATGTGCCTCTGCTCGATGTGCCTCTGCTCGATGTGCCTCTGCCCGGAGTCCAGCCCGGTGTGCCGCTGCCCGGAGTCCTGCCCGGTGTGCCAGTCTTTGATATCCCGCCAGTTGCCAGACCCGGGCGGTGGAACATTTTGCCCAGCTAGGACTGTTTGGAGCGTCCTGAGGCCGCTCCTTGAGGGGGGGGGTACTGTTAGGAATGGACTGGCCAGCAATGGTGGGACTCACCCGCCTTTTGATCTGCAGTACCAGGGCTGGCCAGCGGGTGCTCCCAGCAATCAGAGACTCAACCTTTCAGCCAGCTAACACCTGGAACTGATGATGCTGGGGTATTTAAGGGATGGCCAGACTTGCAGACTCGGCCTTGGTGTTGTGTTTGTCCTGGGCCCTGTATCTGTCCTGCATCCTGTTTCTGTTCCTTTGCTGACTTCTCCTGCTCTGATCCTGGCTTGTGACCCTGACCATTCCTCTGTCTGACCCTCTGTACTATGCTGCTTGCTACCTGCTGAACCTGGCCTGTGACCCCGACCATTCTCCGCTTGCTCCCCCTGTACCTACCTGCCCAATTGATATTGACCCGGCCTGCCTGACGACGCTTGCTTGTATATACTGTTATCTGTGGGTGGTTTGGTTTGGTTTGTTTGCACTGTATTATGTTTTAGTATTGCACTGCGTTTATGTTTGTACTGTTAGTGTTAATAAATTATATTGTTTATAACATATCTGAGGTCTGCGTTTCCCTGCTTCAGTCACACACCTCTGGTCATACCTGGGAGCTCTGACACATATGCAGAAAAACTACTTTTGTCAGGTAGGCCACATAGTGCATGCCTAAACTGGAACCGGATGGAAAGACCAGTGTTAATATCACCCATGAGGGCCTCCAGCAGAGGCAAAGTTCACTTAAGATTTTTTTGCAGTGGCTCCAGTTCATCTGGTTTTTGCCATAACTATAGCTGATGGTATTCTACTGTGGAGTACTCACGATGTGGTGTGCAAAATATAAATTAAGTGTATCTGGAACACGTATGCAGCAACTGGTTTGTGACGTGTCCTCAGAGTGACCCTGTGTTACCTGACCATGATGCTGGATTGTATATAGAAGTCAAACTTTGTCCATTACAGTAGGGTTATAGTGGAGATTCGCAGTGGGGCATGTCCTCAAAAGCTTATCAGTGTCCAATCACCTGGAGATACAAGTCTATAATCCAGGGTCTATAAATATTGTTTGTGTCCTCCTGTATTGTATGATTAAAATAAAAAGCCTACCTAAATGCTCCTTTTACTTACCTAAATCCATGGTCACGTAATGTTTTATCTGGTCTTCTTTCTGCTTCCATTTACAGGAGGCAGGGTCATTCTTCAGGTGTTTATGTCATGTCTGCATGGCAGGGACACTTCCATTTGGCTCTTCAGCTGCAGAGTTTTCTCAGGATTCAGAAGGACCAGCCATGGGCACATTTGCCGTGCTGCCTTACTAGTCCCCCACACCCAAAAAAAAAGGCAACGGCGTGGGACCTGGATGGTGGACTTAGGTACTTAAAACTTGCTTTACAAGGTAAGAAAGAGGGACAGCTGAATGGATGAGGGAAGTTAATCTTTGCCTGGAAATACACATCACAACAGAATGACGTGGTGTGAAGGGAGAAGGTATGATGAAAAGTTAAGGCAGACACTTTTTGTGCTATACATAAGAGCTTCAATAAATGATACTGAACATTCTCCTTAAAGCAAATCCATCCTAGGAGAAATATAGGGGCTGCCATTACTGACCTCCAATGCTAGGTATTTGGCTTTTATGTTTAATCTCTGGCTTGTACCACGTAATGAGTGGAAATGCATTTGCTGCCATCCCATTCCAATTATCTATGCTGACATACAGTTCCTAAACCCTTCCTCCAATTTGGATGCACATACCCTCAAATTAAAGCTGAGAGTTTGCACTTTCAGCCCATATCAATTATAGAACTATCGCTTGAATATGTTTTGGCAAATACCTGAAAAAAAACTAAAATTGTGCCTGTGTCCAAATACATATGGACCTAACTGTAGATGAATAATAGCTCATCACAGGTACCCTCATAGAAAGAAATGGGTGTGTTTGACCAGGTAGGATAGAGTTCACTGGACTGAATGGTCAAATACTGATGCCTACTGAATTGCACAATAACACTACTGTGCAATTGTTAAATTTAAAAAAAAAAGCAACACTAATAAATAGAGGTTGTTAGTACAGTCTCTATATCTACTTATGACTTTTGTTGGGCTTTAAAGTATAAGTTCACTTAAAAAAAAAAAATAAAAACCAACAAGTTTTTTTTCTTAGTAGCCTGCAGGACATTGCATCCACGATCAGCAGATTGCAGAGGCAATGTCAGGCTCCAGCAGACTCTCAGCACCGCTGTCTGCCCATACAGGCAGACAGCTACAAAAGAGCAGGAAGAGTCAATGAACTTCAAAAGGATACTTACCAGCACCCTACCAATTTATTCTGACCTACAAGTTGTGTGCCATGATAGAAGACAAGACTTGTAGTTGATCCATTCACAGGTAGCTGTGCATGAATGATGACCCTGTGTGGGCGGAGCCCCACTGTTTTTAAATTGTGATAGAGGGTGCAGGGAATGCATCGCTGCTGCATTAGTAACATGTTAGATCCTATGGGTGTAACATGTAATTAAAAGGTTAGCTTAGTATTTGGTGTCACTGGTGTCACTAACGGGCCCAAAGTCCACAGCTTATATTTTATGCTAATGTGGCATACAGACCTATGAATGAATATGGATTTATGACATATTCATTCTTTTTTTGGCGTTTTAACTTAGGACTTGTTCAACCATGATGCAAAGCCATCAGTTTTTCTGCATGCATTCTGCAAAGGCAAAACAAAATCAATTGTTCTCTATGTGTGCTGTTCACAACACAACACTAGTATCACATGCAGATTTGTTCTCTGCAGGAATCTGCAATGAGTATGAAACTCATTGGAGCGCACATGAAAACGGATGTCTCGGCAAGTGAAATCTGCACCTCAGTTTCCATCAGTTTTTCTGCACCTATGGTGTGAAAGAGGCCTTACAGTCCCTTTAAGGTTAATACAATCACATACATGTAGTTTTAATTAACTTTAAAACAAACATCCTACAATGTGTAGGGATATGCGAGCCTGTGTGATAGGGATGCTAATTTGCTAGTGTCCTGGGGGTAGGTACTCATATGAAAGGCCCAGTATTTTCTGTATTGTGCAACACATGAGCTTAACATGAAAAGTGAATGAAAAACTGCCCTCAGCTCTATACAGGAGTTACTAACTGTTGCACCAATTTACATTTTCTGCTTCGGCTGTGTATAGTACATAATTCCCATAGGAAAGTCAGCATTAGTGAGGCCAGAGGATGAAAAATGTGACCGATTGCAATGCTGAGATTTCTTTCCAACACTGTCATTAGATAACATTTATATAGAAGTTTTTTTTTTTTTTTTCACTAAATCAGATGAATAAATCCCAAGTTACATATAATTGATAATGCAGTTATAAACGTGTGAGATATTAGTATCTTTGTTACCTAATCAATACAGCTTTCATTTCTAATTTAGGGATTTGGGAATTAAATCCCAGAGGTGAGCTAATCTGATTCACAAGTGACAGTTCAGATACTAATTTGGCAGCTTGTCATGCAGCACAGCTAATTAAGTTGAAATTTTACTTCTTTCTCATCTCCATCTGCTTTATTCTCCTGGGACACTTTAGGCTGCAGTGGAGGTATACAGGTTTTGGGCAAAGCTGGTATTCTAAGCAAGGGCAGAGCAATAAATAAGTTGGTAAACAATATTCATGACCTATTTTATGAAATACCAAGTACAGAGCCTTGCATATTTTCCATGCCCAACTGAAAATATATCAGCATTTAAACAGCACCAATAATATATGCAGCCTTTTACATACTGTACATTCAGATTAGCCCCTGGCCCTCAATAATATATGCAGCCTTTTACATACTGTACATTCAGATTAGCCCCTAGCCCTCAAGAAACTTACAATCTAAAGGTCCATATTTCACATACAAAACACACATACTAGGGTCAGTTTAGACAAGAGCCAATTAGGCTACCACCATGTTTTTGGAGTGTGGAAGGAACCCCTCACAAGCAAAGGGAAAAAAATGCAAACTCTAATCAGTGTTCTGGCCAAGGACTCCAGTGCTGCTTGCTAGAAGCACTAACCACTGAGCAAAGTTTGCTGCCTTTTGTTAGCTACATTATTCTTATTGCAATAGGGGAACTATAGAAACATTGGAATGCTAAAAAACTTTCCAGTTTACCAATTACCCTTCTTAGGCCATTTATAAACAGCCTAAAGGTTGAAGTGGTTATACCTGGATCATGACTGCAGCTACAGCCACGAACGCAGCAGAATTTTTCTTCTTCTTTGGACCAGTGATTATACTTTTAGTAAAAGTAATCCAAGCCACTGGATTTTTTTTTTTAAAGTGTTGGAAGGGGCCCAGACTGGAAGTGGTTAAGGAATCTAATAATATACGTATCCTCCTAAAAACCCTAGTTGCCTGGGTGTCATTTGGATCCAATGGTTTAATACTTTGTGAATCTGAACCAAATCAGGTCAGGAGTTCGCAATGTTTTGGCTGCATTCTTGTGCCACATCAACAAGTCAGTACTGAAGCAAGTTTATCTACATGATGGCGAGGCAGTTACTATTTTCCAGGTCAGGTATGACAGCCTCTGTTTCTAACGAAGATGATGTAGGTGGGAGACACTTTATCAGACTTCATTCCTCAGTCTGAAGGTAAGTCGATACTTTGGGGTACAGTGACACTGGCTAAGGAGCACGCTAACATGAAGGTCCCTAAGGTGATCATTGGAACGTGTAAGAAGAATAAGAATGCTGCACCCAATAGGAATAAAAGTCCAGATGAAAGCTTTAAAAAAAAAAAAAAAAAAAAAAGTAAAAATTACTGAAAGTCATTTTTGCTGCATTAGCAAAAGTGAACTGTACCCAGACGGAGCCTTTGATATTAGTACATCAGGACCGCGATATACAGTAACTCTATTTTCTCAGTTAAAACAGAAAGACTGTCCCCTCCT